GGTATACCCTTTTTCCCTTGTTTAGGTTCAAGGCTCCCATTCTAAAGTAACTAACCCAAAAAAACGGTTACCCTTGTTGTAGTATGGTTATTGGGCCTACCAACATACACCTTGGGGCCTCAAGGTCCGGCGCAGAAGGGTTTGGGGGTCACATGTACTAGGCGGAGAGGCCTGTACATGATCTCAATTTTAAACCCTAAGCCCTAAACCCGAAAAACTAACCCTAGCCCTAAACCCTGAATCCTGAGCCCTGAGCCGCAAAACACCCCCCAAACCTAGGCAGCCTCAGAACTTGCAACCCGTATGAACCCGACTAAGGGTTTCGGGTTTAGGGTGTAGGGTTTAGGGTTAGCGTGTATACGGTTTAGGGTTTAGGATTTAAGGTTTTAGGGTTTACATGAGTTTACTGGGGTTTAGGGCCCCCGAGGTGCGAAGTAAAACCGGGGCTTTAAGGACGTTCGGACGCGGAGATTCTGTGTAGGAGGGAACCACAACCGAGAGCCTCCGTGTCCCAGAGTCCTTGGGAGGATCTGGAAAGTACTCCCAAGTCTGGGCCCCTGAAAATGATTCATAGGCCTTAAGCCCGAAGCCCCACACTTTAGAATCCCAAGTCCCAAGCTCGCATCTCATCCCTAAAATGCCCTGACCCCTAAACCCTAAACCCCAAACCCTAAACCCCAAACCCAAAACCCTAAACCCTAAACCACAAACCCTATACCCCAAACCCTAAACCCCAAACAGTCCTAACTCCTCAGATGCTCCCAAGGGCTTTGATTCCGGGCTGCCCGGTTCAATCCTTCGCAGTGGATCTCCCCCGGAAGAGGGCGCAGGACGTAGGACACAGAGTAGGACCTTATTTTTCTTTTTTGGTTTAGGGTTCAGGTTTACGGTTTAGGTAGGGTCTAGGGTTTAGAATTTAGGTTCCCTTAGAAGCCCCTTTAAACCAAAACCCTACGCCACAAAAGGGTACCTTATTATTTACCCTAAACCCTAAACCCTAAACCCTAAACCCTAAACCCTAAACCCTAAACCCTAAACCCTAAACCCCTTTTCTTCCTAGGCTGCTCTCGGGTTGCGGAGCTCAGAAACCCGACCCAAAAAGTCAGAAGCCAGGTACGGTTGGGGTCTTTCCTTGCAGGGCAAACAGAAACCGCCCCACTCCTCTCTTGAGTTCTCTCCTGGTCTCAGTTTGCAAGTCCCTAAAACGCAAACCCTAAGCCCTGAACCTTAGACCCTAAACCCTATTCTTTGTCAAATCTTGGTCTTAGGCTGCTCTTTGATTATCATCTTAGGGCAGTATAGACGTCACTAAACCCCAAACCCTAAAACCTAAACCCTAAACCCTCACCTTCAAAGCACGTTTTAAAGTTAAAAGTCCCAGCCCGTGACCCTGGAAACCGTAGGGTATTTAGGGTGTTTAGGGTATTTAGGGCATTTAGAAGGCATACACCTGAAGTTGCTTTGCTATGCCCAATAAGGGCCTGCTAAACCCTAAACCCTAAACCCTAAACCTATAAGACATTACGGCTGAGTCCGGGCTGGTGCAAAACGACGCCCAAATCCAAGGGACTAAAGCAGGGACCCTTGGAAAGGACCTTACGGGGTTCCTTCTAGGGGGTCCCTCCATTTACCCCTTAACTTTATCCTTAAGGCCACCCTACTAAACCCTAAACGCTAAGCCCTAAACCGGTTCTGGTTGGTACGGCACCACGCCCAAAACCCCTAACCCTAAACCCGATACCCTAAACCCCAAAGCCCAACACCCCAAAAGCCCTCAAGAGCTTTGCCTGGGGGGGTGCCCCCTGCGTTGCAACACTGGCCAACCGCGCTGCAGTGTCCCAAGTACAGTAGGAGGAATGGGAGCCTCCAAGGAATTGAAAGGGTTTAGGGTTTAGGGTTTAGGGTTTAGGGTTTAGGGTTTAGGGTTTAGGGTTTAGGGTTTAGGGTTTAGGCTTTTCTTGTTTGTGGACCCTTGTCGCTCGTGATGCGGCCCACCTCAAACGAAGCTGCTTGCGGGCCTAAACACTGTAGACCTCTCCATCCAGCTCTGTGGTAAGTCACCCTAAACCCCAAAAGCCCTAAAGCCAGAAGCCCTCAACCTTCACGCCCAAACCCTAAAACCCTGAAGCCCTATGAGCCCCAGCCTTTAACCCCGAACCTGAAACCTGTCGAGGGCGCAGCGCCGCAGCTACTGTGTGGAGTTCGTTGGGCAGTACACCCTACTTTTGTGTTCGAGTTTGTTGGGCATTGCACCCTACTCTAGGCTTGAGGTGCCGCTTGGGATTTTTGCACCCTACTTTAGGGTTCGGGGTCTATTGTGCTGTATAAGGGGATGAGGTGAGAATTGGATGTTTAGGGTTCAGGGCTATGGTATGTTTGAAAACATGGGTGTGCGGAAATTCTGCTTAGGGCGTGGAGACTTCTCAGCCACCACAACAATGGCGTGTGAGGGAGATCTGTGGACGGCATGCTGAGCTTGACTTTCCTTTTGTATCGTTGAGGGTTTAGAGTGACTTGTTCGATTCTGCTTCCATGTATCTCCCTGCCAGTAAGAGACCTACGTTTGCAGGTCAAATTATCGCCAGCGGCTGACTTGCTTCCGACTGTCAAGCCTCCACTCTTCTTGCTCGGGACCCTTAGCAAGCCGACAAAGCCTTGAATAAATCGCTCACCCTCTTCTTCGACATGGCCTGAATAATGATCCGCACCATGCGTCACCATCCAGTCCCTATACGTAACCATTGTCCACACGACCTGAAACAGCTTCTTGCCACAGGAGCAGTTCCATTTTTGCGGCAAGAGAACCGCAAAGTCCTTAATTAATTGAGCATACGAATTCGGTCCACTTTGCCCGAAAAACCTATTCTACTTAAACTGGGCCTAAACTTTGAACCCCTAAACCTATCGACCCGAAACACTAAATCACTAAACCCACACCTCAAAGCCTGTATTTCGCGTAGGCAAGTCAGCCACGGTGTCGGTCAATGATGGGAGTGCGCACCCTCGCTTGATGGAAAAGTGTGTTTTGGGCCTGGGGTTTAGGGTTTAGGGTTTAGGGTTTGGGTTGTAGGGCTTGGGGCTTGAAGTTCGGGACTTGGCGTTTCGCACCTTCTTGCGAGCGGGGGTTGACACCAGGAGGGTCTTGCGCAGGAGTATGGGCTAGGGTTGAGCATGTTCTAGGACCCTAAACCCTAAACCCTAAACTCTAAACCCTAAACCCTAAACTCTAAACCCTAAACCCTAAACCCTGTATTCCGAATGTTCTAGGGATTGAGATGGAGCCTCGGGGCTATTCTTTACATGTCGGTGCCTGCCCTGAACCTCTAAAGGGCTCAAACTAGGTCTTGGTTGCATATTGCTGCACGAAGGCATGACTTGCATATTATGGAGGTTTCCGAAAATAAGTACCCTTTTGGGGGGCGGGTGCGGGGGGGGGGGGGGGGGGGCTAGATAAGGATTAGAGTCTTTTTTTTTTTTTTTTTTTTGGGGGGGGGGTATTTTAAGCCCCTACTCTGGGAAAGCCCCATGTTGGGGTCCCTCTTTGGCAAAAATCGCCCGAGTCATGTCGCAGCTGCGGGGTTCAAAGTATGCTGGTAGATGGGACCCTAAACCCTAATCCCTAAACCCTAAACCCTAAACCCTAAACCCTAAACCCTAAACCCTAAACCCTAAACCCTAAACCTTGGGAAGCTCACATGCATCCCACCTGCCCAACCCCGAACACCGCTGAGGCCCCAAGCCGAAGCCCAAATGCAAGCCCCACCAGCCCTCAGCCCTCGTCCTATAAACCCTGCAAAGCCTTTTTCAAGCGCCTTCTCATTCAGATCCCAGAACAAATTTCTTTTAGGGGGGAAGCGCTGCGGAGCGGCACGCCACGGCACGATGCAGCTGCTGCTGAAGTTCCTGAAGCACGCGTCACAAACTGTGTCGGAGTCCGCGCGCCTGGGAGCAAGATATGTTAGCCGCTCAAGCGCTTTAGGGTTCAGGCTTTCGGCTCTTTACCATAAGTACCATAAAGGTTGGTTCCCTTTGTAGCAAGGATTTCCTTAGTAAGGGGCTCTTCTCCTACGCATCTCAAGGGACTACAGGGGGGACCCTTATAAGGGACCTTTGGGGGTCACTTGGGGGTTACCTAGGGGCTGCTTAGGTATGCAGGGGGCTATAAAAGGTATATATCTATATATATATATATATGGGTTATATAGGAGAATAAGATTAAGGGTCCCTTCTAGGGGTCCCTCCTTATACCCCTTCATCCCTTTGAAAGGGCCGTTAACAACCAACCTCACCCCTAGACGTTTGAACGTAGGTTGGTCGATTCTCTAACAATACTTCTAAACCCTAAAGCCCAACAAAGCCTTGAACCCTAAGCCTTAAACCCTACACCCTAAACCCTAAGTTAGGTACAGTACCGCAATTTCCAGGAATCGAAGCTTTCAGTTCTTTTAAGGCCCTGCACTTGTTGGCCTTCGTTTTAGGGCTTACATGGTTTGGTGGGTAGGGTTTAGGCTTTATGGTTTAGTGTTTAGGGCTTACAGGGCTTAGGGCTTACGGCTGCCTCCTACGCCTTTGCCCTAACAGCACTCAAGCCCAAAGCCCTAAACCCTAAACCCTTAAACCCTAAACCCTAAACCCTAAACCCTAAACCCTAAACCCTAAACCCTAAACCCTAAACCTAGGCCCGGAAGCCCCACAGCCGCAAACACTGGAGCCCCACCCACCCTGAAACCGAAACCCGGCGATCCCCAGTACTGCGGACCCTAAACCCTTAACCCCCTAAACCCGGACTCTATTTTCCTACAGATTAGTTGTAAACTACCCTTAATTCGTAGGTATAACCCATGCAACTGTAGGAAAAGAGGGTCCCAAGAATCTTAACGCACTTTTTCCGCATCCCTTGAGCCGTTATCTTGCGTCCTGTATGACGAGGCCCCTCAGGGAGGGTTGCCGGACCATTTAGCGATGGCACTGGCGCAACAGCCAGCTTCGCCGACAAAGAGATGATGGAAGCATTGACGGCCATTGCTCTGGAGGATCACGAGCACGTCGAACAGAAGGAGAACAGTCGTGAGGGGGACGCTGACAAAGGATTTACCTCTTGAATCGCTGACAGCACACACACACACACACCGGTATGCATGTGACGTTTGGGGCCAATGTCTGAGCCAGATCGTCTCTGAGCCAAGCTTGTTCACCAAAACTTCAACGACCAAGATCACTTTGGCACAAGACAACATGAACTGGGTTTAGGGTTTAAACCCTCACGCCCCAAAACTCTCAATCTGTTGACTCACCCTGAAACCTGGTGTATATACTTGGGATTGAGCTGCAGTAGGGTAGGTGAACCCTAAACCCTAAACCCTAAACCCTAAACCCTAAACCCTAAACCCTAAACCCTAAACCCTAAACCCTAAACCCTAAACCCTAAACCCTAAACCCTAAACCCTAAACCCTAAACCCGAATTGCAGGGCACAGGAAGGTGCTGGTCGAGGTTTCGCGGTTCCGTTGGGATTGATGACTCTGGCATTGCGCCAGGGCTTGCCTGGAGTGGTAAAGGGTTTAGGGTTTAGGGTTTAGGGCTTAGGGCTTAGGGCTTAGGGTTCAGGGTTCAGGGTTTAGGGTGAACCTCTAAACCCCCTAAGCCCGAAACCCCACATGTGCAGCCACTTAGCCCCATTGCCCTAGAGCCTGTAGCCCCCTATACCCCAACCCTATGGCCCTAAACCCTGAAGCCTAAACCCTAAACCCTAAACCCTAAACCCTAAACCCTAAACCCTAAACCCTAAACCCTAAACCCCCATGTCCTCATCTTGAGGTGGGCTTGGGCCTTGTTGTCCCTGCTGCTTGGCTCGCAGCTTCGGGGCTTTGGGGCTCTGAAAGGGTCTCTGGTTTAGGGTTTAGGGTTTAGGGTTTAGGGTGTAGGGTTTAGGGTTTAGGGTTTAGGGTTTAGGGTTTAGGGCACTTTCGGGGCTTAGGTTCAGGCTGTACAGGGTGCACAGGGTTTCCTTAGTATGGTTTAGGATTGGTCTTACTTGTCAGGTTTAGGGTGTAGATTTTTGGGCTGTCGATTTTTGGGTGTAGGTCACTTATGGGTCTGGGGTTTAGGCTTTAGTCTCTTAGTAGGATTTAAGCTTTGGGCTGTGAGTTTCGAATTTCGGGCTTGGTAGCACTTGGGGCTTTGGGGTTTACTCACCTGCGTCCTCCCACAAAAGCCCTTGTCTTTTGCCTGGAGTTTAGGGTTGATGGTGCCCCCCAACCCTCACCTTGGTTTAGGGTTTAGGGTTTAGGGTTGAGGATTGAGGGTTGAGGGTTGAGGGTTGAGGGCTCTCAACCCTAAGCCCTAAACCCTAAACGCCCTAAACCCCCTTCAGGATTCTCTACATTCTGTTTGCCGGACTTTTCTACACCCACGTCGAGGGATGGACCTTCCTCGAGGCCTGGACCTCGGGACGTTTAGGTTGCTTTCGGGTTGCCCGAAGGCCAAAACACCCCCACGCCCCAACCCTAAGGCCTGCGTAAACAGCGTGTTTAGGGTTTAGGGTTTAGGGTTTAGGGTTTAGGGTTTAGCCCTACGACCCCACGTCTTGCCGCAGTTTTAGCATCTTTGGTTTAGGGTTTAGGGTTTAGGGTTTAGGGTTTAGGGTTTAGGGTTTAGGGTTTAGGGTTTAGGGTTTAGGGGACAGACTGCAACTATTTGGGTCACTACCTTCATTCAATGAGTGTGCAAGTCACACACACACACACTCACTCTCTCTCTCTCTCTCTCTCTCTCTCTCTCTCTGGCTTGTTTCTCTTTCGATGCACCCGGCTTGTGTCCACTTTGCCCAGCACACCCATTCTAGTTCTACAAAGCTCCTAGTTTCAGAGCTGCAAGCGAGGCAGCGTACTTCGCCATGGTGACCATGTCCACTTGCGGGTATGGCGACTTCTACCCGACGGCCTCTTCTCAAGCACTAGAGGGGTGGAGTAAGAGCTTCAGGCTCTGGGATTCTGAGGTTAAGGGGCAGATCGAGGGAACATAGATTGGCAAGCTTTAGGGTTGATTGGGGCTATTGGGGTTTGTTTAGGGTTTAGGGTTTAGGGTTTAGGGTTTAGGGTTTAGGGTTTAGGGTTTAGGGTTTAGGGTTTAGGGTTTTAGGGTTTTCGGGTTTTAGGGTTTTAGGGTTTAGGGTTTAGGGTTTATGGTTTGGGGTTATAAGGGTGTCGGCTCTAGAGTTTGATGAATTAGGGCTCAGGGTTTAGAGCTTTTGGGGATTTAGGGATTTTGGAATCTATATAAGGCTCCCTACAAGGTGCTACTAAACATTATCTGGTAAGGAGTTGCAGGCAGGGAAATTTTGGGCTTGGGCTGCCGGATGCCCAGAACCTCAAAAGCCCTTGTCCCTGAACGTTGTTGAAGCCTAGAAAGCCTTCGGGCGAGCTGTTCCAATTTCCTTCAAGACAAGGCATTGGAACTGCTCTACACTTTTATGGGTACTTAAACCCTAGAAGGAATTTTACCAAAAAAATGGTATTATCCCAACCATGAACTAGTTCTTCCCAAGCATGAGGATGTGTGGATATAGGATTGCATATAAACCCTAAACCCTAAACCTTAGTGCCCAACCTCTAAATCCTTTTTCCCAAGCATGAGCCCTAAACCTAAAACCCTAAACCCCCAAGGAGTGGTATTCCCAGATGGTCACCGTGTTCTTCATCCTCGTAGGCATCAGTGTCGTCTTCGCGCAGCTGGGGACCCTTTGGCCGCCTACGGTCTGCCTTGAGCAGTACAAGGGCTTTGTTTCCCTGGACCCTGTAAACCCTAAAGGCCCTATACTCTAAACCCTAAACCCTCAACACTAAACCCTAAACCCTAAACCTTGAGCCCTCAGCTAGAGTTGAGGCTTAGTCAGTTTCAGCTTGCCAGGTTCTAATTAGCCCTTATAAGGCTTTCGGCCTTCCATTAAATTAGTATTTGGGTGTCTAGAGGGTTAAAGCGTCGTCAGGGTGAATTCTTATCCCTTGAGCCCCAGACCCTGAACCATAAACTCGCCCTCTTGAAACGGTCCCGAACAAGCGAGTGGCAGCGTTTACGGCGACGGGCTTTGCTGAGCTCTTACCACCCCAAACCTTTTTACTCTAAAGAACCTAAACGCCAGACCTTTAACGCAGGACCAAAACAACGCCATTTACTGCCAGAAGCGTGAACCCTAACCCTTCATCCGTAATCCCTAATAGACCACAAATCGCCCTAAGCCCAAAAGCCTCTAAACCTAAACCCTAAACCCTAAACCCTAAACCCTAAACCCTAAACCCTAAACCCTAAACCCTAAACCCTAAACCCTAAACCCAAGGAACTGCGTTACCTCGCTGATCGAACCGGTGCCTGGGCGAAGGGTGTCAAGGTTTAGTCTCTTTCGGGATGGGGCTTCTCTTGGGGTTCCGAGTCTTCTGCAAACTTCGGTCCCTGCATAACATACCCCTAAACCCTAAACCCTAAACCCTAAACTTCTTCGGCAGGGGCCTCCAACGTCCCAGCAATTGACGGGTTCTCCCGTGAGACGTGGGCGTGTTTGGGGCTTTAGGGTTCAGGGGTTTGGGGTTCAGGGGTTTAGGGTTAGGGTTTAGGGGTTTAGGGTTTAGGGTTTAGGGTTTAGGGTTTAGGGTTTAGGGTTTAGGGTTTAGGGTTTAGGGGTTAGGGGTTAGGGGTTAGGAGCCTATAGGATCTTTAAGAAGGGTCCCCAAAACCCAAGGGGACAGCCTCACGGGTCCAAGGTACAATCCCCCTAGATCCTAAATCCCTACAGGCCCTAAACCCTAAACCCTAAACCCTAAACCCTAAACCCTAAACCCTAAACCCTAAACCCTAAACCCTAAACCCTAAACCCTAAACCCTAAACCCTAAACCCTAAACCCTTACCTTAAACCTCCAAACTCAAAAAAAACCCAAACCCCAAACCTTAAAAGCCCCCAGCCCTCCAACCACCCCCCCACCCCCCCACCCCCCCCAACCCTAAACAGATGACCCTGAACCCTAAATCCTATAAACCCTTAGCCCGTACCCTTACTCCTATAAACCCTAAACCCTAAACCCTACACCCTAAAAGGAAGCCACACAATGCCCAGGTCTTTGACTTCACGCGAACCGTCTCCGAACGCTTGGCACCGGCGAAGTACATCGACATCTCCGGGATCCTCGGCTCAGGGTTTAGGGTTTAGGGTTTAGGGTTTAGGGTTTAGGGTTTAGGGTTTAGGGTTTGGGGTTTGGGGTTTGGGGTTTGGGGTTTGGAGTTTAGGGTTTGGGGTTTGCGGTTAAGGGTTTGGGGTTTAGGGCTTCGGGTTTAGGGCTTGGGGTTTAGGGTTTCGGGTTTGGGGGTCGGGGTTTGGGGTTTGGGGTTTTGCTGTTTCGGGTGTGGGGTTTATTTTATAGGGTTATACTGAGGCTTAAGGTTTAGGGATCTAGGTGGTTAGGTTATGGGGGTTCATGCATGGGTTGAAACGGGTTTTTTTCGAAGGAGGGGATTCAGGTTTTCGGGGTTTCAGGTCAATAGTACAGGGGCTCTGTTGGTTTAGGGTGGGGGGGGTTACAGTTTTGGGCGTTATATAAATATAAATAAATATATACATATATATATATGTATATATATATATATATTTTTTTTCTTTTTTTTTGGGGGGGGGGGGGGGGCTTTAGGATTTGGGGCTGCTAGGGTCCTATAACATAAACTGTAAACCCTTGGGATTTTGAAGGCATCTCTACCCTGACGGTCTCCGGCCTTGTGTTTGCGTTTTGGGGTTTCTTGGCTTCCTCACTGGTCTAGGTTTAGGGTTTAGGGTTTAGGGAATCATGTCATACTTACAGAATTCCCAAAAGCAGTACAAATCACACACTTGGATGTTCAGGGTACTTACATCACGACGGTGCGTGCAGTCTTATAAGAGTTCAAGGGCTTTGCATTCGCTGAGGAATGGCGTCCCCGATTTCCAGGCATGGAGTTGTGCGACTGAGGGGCTATGCAGATGGCATGCTCTCAACACACAAAACCCTTGCCCCAAACCCTCCACCCCAAATCCCAAACCCCAAACCCGAAACCCTGAACCCTGGACCCTGGACCCTGAACCCTAAACCCTAAACCCTAAACCCTAAACCCTAAACCCGAACCCAAACCCTACAACCCAACCCTAACCTTGACCCTAGCACGCTAGAGGGCCTCGAGCTTTCAAAGGCCTAGTCCTTTTACAGCCCTATTCCTGAAACCTACACCCCGAATCCTCAAACCCCGAAAAAGCCCAACACCCTACCCCAAAACCCCGAAGCTTTAAAGCCCTACAGGTCTAGGCTTTTGAACTCCTAAGCGCGCCAGGCGGACACCCTAAGTTGAAAAGAAGAGGCGCCCAAAAGCCCCGTAGAGGCCCCCTAAATCCTGGATGTAGGGTTTCGGGCTCAGGTTGTAGGGTTTCGGGTTTAGGGCAAGCCCTCGCCCGAGAAGGGTTAGGGTCGAGGGTTGGTTCTATCCGTAGCAGGAGCTAAGAACTGCATAGGTGTGTAACAAGGGCTTCCAGAAGCAGTCGAGCAAAGTCTCACACTACCCAAGCCTTACCACTCTCAACCCCACCCAGAGCCTCCCCCCCCCCCCCCCCCCCCCCCCCCCCCCCCCCCCCCCCCCCCCCCCCCCCCCCCCCCCCCCCCCCCCCCTGCGAGGAAGCCCTGTAGCGTTTAGGGTTTAGGGCTAAAGCTTAGGGTTTAGGGTTTAGGGTTTAGGGTTTAGGGTTTAGGGTTTAGGGTTTAGGGTTTAGGGTTTAGGGCTTGGGGTTAATCCGAAGCCTGTCTTGGAAGTACTTTCGAAACGGTCCTAGCTGACAGGTGCCACGGCGGCCCTCCATCTACTACTCGAAGAATTTGGCAGGCTGGAACCCTATGGCGCCGAGAACTCTTCTATTCAGGGTTTTTGTTTTCTCATTTAAGTTTATAAGGATTAGGGTATGTGTATACATATATATATATATATATACATCTAAAGGTTTATTTGAGGCTTAGGGTTTAGGGTTCATCTGGGGGTTTAGGGCCTTCGGGCCTCTGAGACCACTGACGATGCCAGTTCTTTGAGGCATTTTGAGCCAAAGAGTTGTTTTGTGTTACTCTATGCCAAATGCCCCGAGCCCTAGACCCCAACGCCTCAATCACGACACCCTATGAACGTGTTCTTCGGGGCTCCTGACTTTTGGGCTTGCCCCCTAAGACCTGCACACCGAATACCCCTGGTTCTCTAAACCCCCGGCTCCAATGCCCAGCCTAAACCCCCAAGACCCTTAAAACTACATGCCAAAACCTTAGGACCCCAAAACCCCAACAGCCCATGACCCTCAAAGATACCCTAAACTCGAACCCCCCCCCCCCAACCACCCTAAACCCTAAAACCTAAACCCTAAAAACTAGACCCTAAACCCTGAACCCTGAACCCTGAACCCTGAACCCTAAACCCTAAAACCTAAACCCTAAACCCTAAACCCTCCCTTAACCCTCAACCCTAAACCCTGAACCCTGAACCCTGCCTGAACCCTGTGCGGGGAGGGGGGGGTTGAAGGGGCTCAGGGTGGGGGGATTTTCGGGTCCAATGCCCATGAGGCGCTGAGAGGCTTTACTGTAGGGCTTGATACTCCGGGACCCAGAGTCGGCTGAGGGTTCATCAGCACCCCCCATCCCCCCTCTCTTCTCTCTCTCTCTCTCTCTATCTCTCTCTCTCTCTCTATCTCTATCTCTGTCTCTATCTCTCTCTCTCTCTCTCTCTCTCTCTCTCTCTCTCCTTCTTATTTCACTTAGGGTTTATCGGGCTGAGAGTTGAGGGTTTAGGGTTTTAGGGATATATCTATACATATTTTGTTTATTTATTTATTTACTTGTTTATTCATTTACATATACACATTTAATGCATTTGTAAATTCAGGTGCATGTCTAAGCTCATATTCAAGGGCAGGTTGTGCTGCGACATTTTGGTCCCACACGCAGTCACGTGAGGATAGGCGGAAGGACGCCACGGACCTAGGTTTCCTCGCACCTTTCCTTGGGCATGCTGAAGTTTCCATGGTAAAGAGTGACCACACGTGAGAGACACGCAGCCTTGTAAGAGCTTGACAAGGAAGAGTATGCTCACAAGACGTGTAGTCTTCCGTGCAGTCAGATCGGCACAGAGCACCCGTGCCCTCGTTGCGAATTGCTCTGGCATGCTGCGCGTAAGGAAGCTGTCCGGGGAGGAGGTGGCGAGCATAGCCGTCGGGGAGGTGAGCGACGTTAGGTCCCTGAAGCGGCGCTTGGGCCAGCTGCCAGGCGTGCCCTCGCGCTTCCGGCAGAAGCTCCTTCTCGACGGCCGTGGGCTTGAGGATGCGGTCGAGCTGGACTCCCCCATGGAGCTGCAACTGGTGCTGCTGCCCTTCGCCGATGTTGCAGGAATGCAGGTGCAGGCACTCGTTGAAGCTGCAGAACGGGACGCTGCAGCCGAGGCGCGAGCTTCTTTTCAACTGTAGTGGCACCTGTGACTCTACCTGGAGGTTCGCATAATACGTACCCTAAGGCAAGGTTACAAGTATAATTCCCATGCTTCTAAAATTTGTCTGGCTGTAATACGGCTGTAATACTTTTACCCTGTCTATTTTCCTACACTTATGAACCTCGAAGTTGAACAATCTGCCTTACACGCCCTCCTCAGGTGGAGGCCGCGCTGCAGCTTCCCCAAGACCCGGACGTGCTCGATGCGCGGGGCAAGACAGCTCTGGTGCAAGCGTCCCGAAAAGGCCATGTGCAAGTTGTCGCTCTGCTGCTGGAAGGAGGGGCTGACACGGGCCTGGCGGAAGACAACTTGTTCAACAGCTTTACGGCTTTGACTGCGGCATCTCAGCGTGGCCACCTCGAAGTAGTACGCCTGCTGCTAGAGGCCGGTGCCGACAAGGACTTGGCCAACAGAGACGGGTTCACAGCTCTCTTGCGGTCAGCTCTCGAAGGCAATGTTGACGTCGTGCGTTTGCTCTTAGGCGCCGATGCCGACAAGGACTTGGCAGACATGTTTGGCATTACAGCTCTGATGTATGCATCTTCACAGGGGCATGACCAAGTTGCACGCTTGCTGCTGGAGGCCGGCGCCGGCAAGGACTTGGCCACCAGAAACGGGTTCACAGCTCTCATGCAGGCTGCTCGCCATGGCCATGTTGAGGTCGTGCGTTTGCTCTTAGAGGCCGGCGCCAAGCAGGACTTGACAGACAAGAAAGGTAAAACAGCTCTGATGGCGGCATCTGCACACAGACACGTCGAAGTTGTGCGCTTGCTGCTGGAGGCCCGCGCGAACAAGGACTTGGTGGACGAGAAAGGTGATACAGCTCTGAAGTTGGCCCGTAGGGCCTCTAGGCGCGGCTGCGTTGAGATTGTGCGTTTGCTGTCGGAAGCCGACAGCTCGAGCGTAGGCAGCAGGAAGCGCCGGAGGCCCTCCTAGCTCAAGTCACGCCGGGGTGCCCTTGGCAGCATGCCATGCCCGCAAAAACCACACGAGAAGACGCAGCCGCTGGTCCCCCGTCCCTGGCAGATTAAGCCTTAATTGAACCCTATAGATGCGGGGATTTCCGAAAAGAAGGTACCCCAAATACAGTCCCCCCCCCCCCAATACGGTACCCCGATGTTCGGAAACCCCCATAGACCCTAGACCCTCAACTGTGCAACGCGGAAGCTTTGAAGCTTTGGGGGAGGGGGGGGGGGGGTTCAAGGCTTGAACCCTATGCCTCCATGCCTCCACAAGCATCCCTGGGCCTTTTCAGACCAAGCCTTTTGTGATTTTCGAGATAAACCCTAGACCCTAGGCCCTAAACCCTAAACCCTAAACCCTACTGAACCATCCCCCCCCCCCCCGCCCCCGCCCAACCCCCCCAAATCGGCCTCAAGACGCCAGGGCCCATTCTGATCCTGCTGGCCTTCCAGCTGGTGTCTGCGGCCATCTTTGCCTTGGTACCCGGGATGCAACCCACAATCGGGTTTGGGGTCTAGTGTTTTGCGTCCTTTTTTTTCTGGGCGGGGGGGGGGGGGGGGGATTATTTGTTTTTGTTCTTGTGGGGGGGGGGGGGGGATTATTTTGTTGTTTTTTTTGGGGGGGTGGGGTTAGGGTTTAGGGTTTTTGGTTTTGAGGGTGGAGTGTTTTCTAGGGTTTACCCCGAGGACTCAAACCCTAAACCCCTGAGCCAAAAAAAAACTGAGACAAAGTTTTCGGGCGCTGAGACATCGAAGTTTGGTGGGTTGAAGGGGTTCGGGGGTCTAGGGTTGACAGTCGAAAACCATGAGCCCACAAACCTGCATGTATCCGTCCCCCCTCCCCCCACAAACCCATGTGAGTGGATCCCGAAACCGTAAACCTACACATGGCACGTCCAACACGCCACGCTTGCTTCTGTTGCCTCGAGATCACTGAACACTCCTTACACGCCAAGAGGCCAACAAAGCAATCTAAACCCAAAACCTCCAATACCCGAAGACCCTAACCCACACCACCAGTCCCAGGCCCCATCCCAAGCAGGTAAACGCCCCTAAGCTAGGCCGCCCAAATCCCCAAGCCCCTAAGCCCCTAAACCTTACACGAAGGTTTAGGGTTATATAAGGGTTTAGGGTTAAGGGTTGAGGGTTTAGGGTTTAGGGTTCAACCCTGAAGCCTCAAAAGAAGCACACGGCGTTGAGGTGGAGCCTGAAATCTTCGATTTCGGGACAGCCTTCTGGCCCTCTGGCCTTCAGTGACGTCAAGGTGTCAAGGAAAGCTACATGATCCCTTATTGTACCGTCCCGCATGCCTTCTTTAAAGGTTTCTGAAGTACGGGCCACTTGGTCTGATGGGGTAGATGAGTAGGGGTATATAAGGGGTTCCCCTACAGAGGGGCCATGCAACTCCCCGAGGAGTTTGGGCTTGCGACGGTTCGTTTATGTAGATGCGTAGGGGTTTACAAACATTTTTCAGGGTGCCGGGTTTTGGGTTCGTTCCAGGCTCTGGGGCGAGGGTTTAGGATTTTCTGGGTGTTGGGTTTAGGTTCCTAGTCTGAGCCCCAAGGCCTACACCCGAAACCCGCGTCATTGTCCTGCTCCGGCTTGCCAAGCTTGCAGCCTTGTAGAAGCCACAAAAACTGCATCGTGCCGTAGTTTTGTCTGCCTCACAACCCAAGATGATACCCTGAACTAGCCTTAGGCCTAAACCCTGAACCCAAAACCCTACATGCTACGAGTTTTAAGGGTTCATGTCGTCCCGAAGGAAAGACATAGGCTGCAAGCCAAGGTACGTCATGGTTACGGCCACGACGGTCGGCCCTTTGAATGCAATGGCACGGCCAGCATAGAGATCAAGAGTCCATTGAGGGGGTAGGGAGAGGGTCAGGGTGCACCTGTGAAGGGGGTCGGTGCACAGTTTTTTCATGGAGGACCGCGCCACCCGCACGACGTATCGACCAAAGGGAAGGGGCTCCTTTGGCAAAACCCTCCAAAACCCCCCCACCCCCCGCACTCCCCCACCCCCCCGCCCCCCCCCCAACCCCACCCCCCCACCCCACCCCCGACATGCCCTGAGTTGGGGGGGGGGGGGGGGGGGGGGGGGGGGGGGGGGGGGGGGGGGGGGGGGGGGTGGGGGTAGGGGGGGGGTTGGGGGGGGTCCGCGAAACCGCCTGTGGTCCGTGAGTTTATGCGGTGTGGCCCTCCATGGAAAAGCTGCCCGGGTACCCCCTACCCCTACCCCCCCCCTTCTCTGGGTGGGGGGGGTTTTCACCCCTTTCCCGGGTTGAGTTCATAGTTTCAGGAGATAGGCTTCTGCTCCGTCTCCCCCAGCGATGATCCCCTATAACGATACTGACTAAGTCAAAAACAACAAGGACCCCAAAAGAAACCTTCATGTTGATAACTGACCGTATACACCTCTTGAGGTCATGAAGTCATGGGTCCCTAGTTCTGGGCCTGTTTAGGGTTTAGGGTTTAGGGTTTAGGGTTTAGGGTTTAGGGTTTAGGGTTTAGGGTTTAGGGTTTAGGGTTTAGGGTTTAGGGTTCTTCCCGCGACGTCCCCGATGGCCAAGAAATAGGGTGTGCACCCCCCTCCCCCCGCAAGCGCGGCATGTGTACTCTGTAGTAGGCGCAGACGTTTACCGCAGGGCACACCGCCCGTTTTTCGTCCTGACGCCGAAAAGCTCAGGATACGGCGACGTCTCTGCCGAGACCACCGGCGGGCGCATCTGGGCCATCGTGCATATTCTCATCTCTGTCTGCCTGTGGCTCGGATGATGGGCTTGAAGGTTCAACTTGGTAGCCCAGTGGTACCCTTCTAAGCCTTTTCCTTTTTTTGTTGTTCGAGGCTCCCTTGTGGAGGGGCTGTAAAGGAGAATGTAGGGGGAGGATTCAGGGTATTCCCAGCGGGAAGGTGCATATTTCTTAGAGTTTGAGGTTTTCATGTTGCTGGGGTGTCCTGAAGGGGTCGGCAAGAAACGCCTTGAGATGAACTGGCGATTGAGGTCTCGGGTTAAGGGTTTGCAGGGTTTATAGGGTTTGTTGGGCTCATAGGGTATATAGGGTTTCAGGATTTCGGGATGTTGGAGTTGAGGGTTAGGGATCGAGATGCTCATGGTGTATGAAGTATACCAGCAGAAGAATTCCGCAACTTGTCGCCGCTCTGCCCTGGGAAAGGCTGCTATGTACGCGAAGTCCCTCAAAGACTTGCTAGTGTATGTTGCCGCGGTTTAGGGTTTAGGGTTTAGGGTTTAGGGTTTAGGGTTTAGGGTTTAGGGTTTAGGGTTTAGGGTTTAGGGTTTAGGGTTTAGGGTTTAGGGTTTAGTTGATTTGCTGGCCTAGTACATGGGCCCTTGCTCTTTCTTTCAAATGTAATTACGGTGTATACTCAAAATACAAATCCACGCAAAGGCTCCACCATACAGACCCAAGCAGCAGACTTTCGGCCTTAAACCCTTAAGCCTGAAAGCCGAAACCATAAAACCCTAAACCCTAAAATAAACCAAACCCCGCATCTCGTTTAGTGCGTAGAGGTCTAAGCACCCCCCCCCCCCATCTAACAGTCGCCTGTTTGTATGTGCAATACCTATCTTTCTCTCTCTCTCTCTCTCGCTATATATGTATATATATATATATAGACACCTATCTCTCTCTTTCAATATAGATATTTATGTATATACTATATATATGTATATATATATATGTACACACACACACCCACACTCCTTTGATTCTGTCTGTGTCGATTTCGCTTATTCAGCGAGAACTGCAGGGCTCTCCATGAAGCACTCCCTTAGCTGCTCTCCTTAAGAGCGCTCCGACAGTTACACAGAGGGGTTAGGGTTTAGGGTTTAGGGTTCGGGGTTTAGGGTTTAGGGTTTAGGGTTTAGGGTTTAGGGTTTAGGGTTTAGGGCTACTAGGACCCAGAGTAAGCCCTTATCCCCTTTTGTTCGGGGGCGCCGAAGAAGGACAAGCCTAGTTGAGACGGAGCTCTGCTTGAAAGCTTCAAGCCTCTCAACCCTAAACCCTAAACCCTTATATTAAGGGGAGTTATTTATAAGCAGGAGATTTCCAATTCGGATCCCTCTTAGGTTATTTATGAGTCTACTTACTATCTACTTGCTAAGTCCCCCGACCCTCCAAGTATAGGGAGGGACCCCTATACCAGAAGAGAATCCTTCATCTTATTCTCCTATAAAAACTCTAAAGATACCTTCTATAGTCCTTAGAACTAAACAACCCCCAAATCACCCCCAAATAACTCCCAAATGAACGCCAAATGACCCCCAAATGACCCCCAAATGACCCCCCTTGAATAAGCCAAGGCTAGCGGCACTCATCGGCGACTTCGGCAAGCTGTGGGAGGAAAGGAAGTCTTTGCCCCTTTGGGTGCAATTCGGCTGTTTAGGGTTTAGGGTTTAGGGTTTAGGGTCTAAGTTTGCGTTTCGGCATTCGGCAGTCGGGGGCTGCCATGGGGTTTACTCAATATCCGTATGAGCTCCCCACCGTTTTCAGGGCAACAGCATGCGGAGACAGGACCTTCAAAGCAGGTAGTGCTTTGGGGGGGGGGGGGGGCTTATCGAAACCGATCTTCGAGATTGGCCGTTTGGGGGTTGGTCTGAGGGAGACCTGCGGAAGCTAGCCCTTCCGAGGGAGACCTGCGGAAGCTTTGCACGGTCGTTGCCGGCACACCTCGAGGGAATCCTCCGAGAGTTGAACACGAGATTGAGATTTGGGGGTTTAGGGTTTAGGGTTTATAAGGTTTAGGGTTTAGGGTTTAGGGTTAGGGTCTAGGGTTTGATGGGGAACACAGAAGCATACAGCACACAGAAGCCGGTGGGGATGTTCATGAACCATAACCCCGTTGAGGTTTCATTTGGAAGCCCTAAAACCTTAAATTCAACCCGAAACGCTGATTCCGAAACCCTAAAACCTAAAGCCGAAACCCTAAACCCGAAACCCAAGGTAGTTTGGGGTGTAGGGAAGCCAGAAGCCCTCTTCGGGCGTTTATGGCTGATTGGGGGCTGAGAAGCTCGGCTCACCGAGGATGGAGCGGGCGTATCACTTCACTCGAAGCTACGACGAGGAGCATGGAGGGTTTAGGGTTTAGGGCTTATGGGTTTAGGGGTTTAGGGGTTTAGGGGTTTAGGGGTTTAGGGGTTTAGGGGTTTAGGGGTTTAGGGGTTTAGGGGTTTAGGGTGTAGGGTTTGGGGTTTTGGGTTTTGGGTTTTGGGTTTTGCGTTTATGCTTTAGGGCTAGGGTTTAGGGTATCTCTGAAGGTTGACGATGTACCTCCAAGTTTAGTCGCTTCCCAGGGCTCCTCCGAATCCATTATTTTGAGCCTTTGTGCTGGTTTTAACCCCGAAAGAAGACTTTAAGCTTGGGATGTTCCCCCCTTAGTTTTTGCTAACCAGCCTAAACCCTAAACCCTAAACTAAGTGGGACTTTGCTATAACTTTATCACTTTACAAGTTTAGGGTTCCTCTAATTTCATATTAAGGGAGCTAAAAGTTAAACTTTTTATTGGGGGGTTAAAGAGCAAGCAAGTTAATAGGGATGATAGTACCCCCGAATACAATCCTCATTAAGGACTGTTAGTATAAGGGGACCTCTTTGGGGTTACGGTTCTAAGGCGGCTCCCTCATGTTGAGGGTACCCAAGAAGGGAGCATAGTTTAAAGAGAACTGACCAAATGGCTGCCATGATTTGAAGGCTCGCTTTTTCTGGCTCTCCGTCATGATGCAGGGTTTAGGGTTTAGGGTTTAGGGTTTAGGGTTGATGCCACTGACGTGTTGGAGAAGCTTTGCCACAGGGAGCCTGACATGCCATACAGCAGTATGCCAGGAGGCTGACTTCGAGGAAGCCAACACGGCAACCAGGAAGCCGCGTTCCCTTAAAGCGGTGACCCCGGATAAGGAAACAGAAGCAAAAACGCTGTGGATGATGATGATGATGATGATGATGATGATGATGATGATGATTGCAGACGTGACACAAAACCATTGGTTTCAGGTCATGGCCAAAGAACTGAGCACTGCGTCACAGGCTAGGTGCTCAGGTTTCACGTGCTGTAGAGGTTGCCATGTGAGCTGCTTCCGATTTTACAGGGTTCCAGGGATGTAGGGCTGAGTGGCCTCATACCCCCAGAGTCAACCCCCGAGCCCTCACAACCCAAAACCCTGAAGCCCCCAGCTTCACCCGAAAAGCCGAAAACCAGTGCTTCAAGCCTTGCAACTCCGACCCAGGGCCGAAACCCGAAACCCCAAACCCCAAATCCCAAACCCTAAACCAGGAAATCCAGCAACCCTTAAAGCCACCGTCAGCACGGGGTAGTTGGGTCTCGAATTCGGGGTTTGGGGTTTGTAGGGCCTTTAAGGGCCCTAAACCCTAGACCCTAAACCTTAAGCCCTAAACACCCGAAACCGTCTCTGAGTCGCCTAGGCAGGGGGCAAAAAGAAGCCCGAAACCTTGTTAGGGCTTGACGGTTTAGGTAAGAAAAGCTATGGGAAACCATACGTAATCCCGAAGCAGCCAAAAGACACACTTGCCTCGAGTGTAGGGTTTGGCGTTTGGGGTTTAGGGTTTGGGGTTTAGGGTTTAGGGTTTGGGGTCTGGGGTTTAGGGTTTAGGGTTTGAGGTCTAAGGTTTAGGGTTTGACCCATGAACCCCCATTCTTTATATTGCCACTGCAGGAGGTGCTGGCCACTCTAGATGAGGATGGCAACAAGCTCGTGGGTAAGTACGAGCTGCTCGGCCATTTGTTTTGGCCTTCTTCTTCTCTGTACGGGGTTTAGGGTTTGGGGCTTAGGGGTGTAAGGGTGTAAGGGTTTGGGGGTTTAGGGTTTTTTCAGTTTAAGAACTTAGGGTTTAGGGATTTCGGTTTTCGGCATTTATACAGCGATTTCAGGGCCTCCGGGGCTTTTTCGGATTTAGTCGTCTACGTTGGGCGTTGTGTTCGTTTAGGTGCTTTTTGGTAGGTCTGTCCATATCTAAACCGTGCATCGCGAAACCGGCGAACTCTCCAACCTCAGCCGGCGCGCCCCCCAAGCATGAGCTGGCAATGATCCTGGCATTGCGGTATAGGCAGGGCCATGGCCAATATGGCTTTCAGCTGCGACCTCCCGATGATATTCTCAACCAGCCAGAAGCCGCCACAAAGGTTTAGTAGGGTTGAAGGTTTCGGGAGTTTGGGGGTTAGGTTTAGGGTTTAGGGTTTAGGGTTCAGGGTTCAGGGTCTAGGGTTTAGGGGGTTCAGGGTTCAGAGGGGTTTAGGGTCAAGAGTTATAAGCTCAAGCCTAAACCCTAAGCAAGCCGATCTAGACTCTGGAGCCTGCTTTTTGGGGGGTTTGGTTGGCTTAGTTGCTTTAGGTGGTTTAGTTGGTTTAGTTGTGGGCCAAGCAAAAATGTACAATTCATGCATGATATCTCTAACCCTAACCCCTAACCCCTAACCCCTAAACCCTAAACCCTAAACCCTAAACCCTAAACCCTAAACCCTAAACCCTAAACCCTAAACCCTAAACCCTAAACCCCCCGAAAACCCCCCCACCCAACTCCCCCCCCCCCCCCCCCCCCCAATTCACCTCCTCAACCTGTGAGGTTCATCCTCGGGATGCTGAAAGAGATCGGCAAGCTGGACCAGAAGGAGGACATCGCTCCCCTCGAGGCCGGAAGCATCCGGCTTAGGGGGGTGCAGGGTTTGGATTTTTGGACGTCACAGGCACCCTGGAGCGTTCCAGTTTGGGAGTGGGGCCTCTCCCTGCAAACCGGGTTTAGGGTTTAGGGTTAGGGTTTAGGGTTTAGGGTTTAGGGTTTAGGGTTTAGGGTTTAGGGTTTAGGGTTTAGGGTTTAAGGTTGAAAAACCCTACTTCACATACATTTCAGGGCTTAGGTCCGTCCTGCACCAGACGTGCCAAAAACCATGCCAGACTCCTCGATCCTCGTTCCATGGGAATCTCATGAAAATCCCGTACCCGAACAACCCAGAAGCCCTGAAATTTATCCTGCGTCCCCAACTCCCAAACGCTCCCCCACACCTTCCCGAAGCCCTCAACCTTACTGTAACCCCCGCCCGTTTCCCCGCCAAGTCAAGTCCCAAAACCGCATCGTGCTGAATTGGTCTTCGAGATGCGAAAAAACCAAGCCCTGAGCCCAACAAGCCTGAACCCTAGACCCTACACCCGAAACCCTAAACTACCCCAAACCCGAACCCTGAACCCTAACCCTAAACTCTAAACCCTAAACCCTGGACCCCTAAGCTGTTACGAAGCTCTGTCTCGGAGTGGGTCTGCTCGTACCGTTTGTTTAGGGGTGGGAGCTTCCCTTGTAGACCAGAGAAGGGTCTAGGGTTTGAGGGTTTAACGTCCGTATTTAAACACCTAAGCCCGAAACCTCAAACCCCCTTAACCCTGAAACCCTTTTACCCTAAACTCTCAACCCGAAATTCTAAACCCTAAGCCCTAAACCTCCTGTACCCTAAAGTCTAAACCCTAAATTCCAATCTAAACCCTAAGCCCTATACACCCTAAATCCTAAACCTAGATCGATGGTCAGAAAAGAAGATGAAGCCTCATGCTGTGCTTCGAAAGGTTTGACAACCCTGGAAAGGTTAGGGTTTAAGGTTAAGGGTTTCGGGTTTAGGGTTTAGGGTTTGTTAAGGGTTGAAGGGTCTAAGGGTCCTTAGGGAGATAAGGATGTAAGGGTTTAAGGATTTAAGGCTGAAGTATTCAGGGTACTCCCCAAGTCGTGTACCCTTACCCTAACACATCCCACCCCTAGCTTAAAGAGGCCCTCTTCACCAAACTGACGTCGTCGCAATCGGACCAGTCGCAAGGCAAGGCCCGATAGACGCCCAGACGGGCTTTGCCTTGAGTTGGGAGAGTTACGCCTGAAACGCCCAAACCCAAACCCCGAAACCCAAAAACCCTAAACCCTAACTCCTAAACCCGGAAACCCAAAACCCAAAAACCCTAAACCCTAAATCCTAAACTCTGAACTCCTGGGGGCTTGAGAGGGGGCTCTAGACTTGGCCTGGGGGAACTTGTTGTTCGGAAGGGCTGGGTTTAGAGGGTTTAGGGTTTGGGGTTCTCGGCTTGGGGTTTGGGGTTTAGGGTTTATAGGGTTCAGGGTTTACGGTGGCTTCTTGTAGATGGAAGGAGTGCTGACTTTGTTTCGGGAATGTTTGGGGTTCGGTTCAGGGGGTGGTCGTCTGTAGTACAGGTCCTGGATGTGTGTGTGTGTGTGTTTTCCGTATACATGGCAAGTCAACATTAGGATTTACGTTCTAAGGGTTTGAAAGACTTGCGTTCCAGCGATCGAAAGGCTGGTACCAGCCATTTGTTGGTTTGTCCCTTTTTGCGTTCTAGGTTTTAGGGTTTAGGGTTTAGGGTCTAGGTTCCCTCATTTTCAAGGAGCAACCAAGCCCCCAAAAAGCGTACCCTTGTTCTGTTATGGTTACTGGGGCTGCCATAAGAGCCTGAGGGTTGAGGGTTTAGGTTTTTAAACCTAACTTAAACCCTGAGCTCGAAACCCTAAACCCTAAACCCTAAACCCTAAACCCTTTGTGGTGCTTTACTGTAACTTTACATCTTTAGCCTTTTTGGGTTTATTGGGTCTCTTAAGAAGGCAGCTAAAAATTATATTTTTAGCTACCCTGCTAAGAGCAGCCTAAACCCTAAACCCTAAACCCTAAACCCTAAACCCTAAACCCTAAACCCTAAACCCTAAACCCTAAACCCTAAACCCTAAACCCTAAACCCTAAACCCTAAACCCTAAACCCTAAACCCTAAACCCTAAACCCTAAACCCTAAACCCTAAACCCTAAACCCTAAACCCTAAACCCTAAACCCTAAACCCTAAACCCTAAACCCTAAACCCTAAACCCTAAACCCTAAACCCTAAACCCTACAATACAGCTTCGCTTGACCACGGCAGCCCTTTTTGAGCCCCTTTTGCGCCCCATCGCTGCCTTGCGCCCCTCGCCGTCCTCGCCATGACGCGGCTCCTCGGAGCGCCCGTGCGTGCGTTGAGGAGTTGGGGGCTGGAAGGGGTTTAGGCTCCCTTTAGACCCTAGACCCTAAACCCTAAACCCTAAACCCTAAACCCTAAACCCTAAACCCTAAACCCTGACAAATTTGGACGGATTGCCCCCAAAACAGTTGTTGGGCTGCAGGAGAGTTCAGGGTTCAGAGCTTAGGTTTCGGGATTTGGGGATTAGGATTTAGGGACCCCATCAGCAGTGCTGGTATAAACCACTCGTGAGCCCCTCAAAACCCTGCACATGGCTATGCTGGGTCGGAACATGGTGGGTACTTCCCAAAAAAGGGGTACCCAGTTATACACCAAATGGAATAGAATCCCCCGAAAAGGTCCCCCCAACAAGAGTACCTCTACTTCGAACACCCCAAGTGAGCGAAGCCCCAAGACCTTGTTTGTTGATACTACACTGGGTGTTGGAGTACTATACTTTAATACTTTTTGATTTGGGGTTCCTATCATAGCTACTTAAACCTTAAAATTGGTTCCTACTATAGCTACTTATACCTAATAAGTATGTACTTTTTGTCCAGAGTCTACTCCAAAGTAGGGTCTTACATGGCTAGGCTCCTAAGTAACCTTGTGAACCCCAGACCCTAGCAAACCCTAACCGCCATGCCCTTCCGCACAGGCCCTAAATCTTCCAAAGTGTACCGGGCCTTCGAATGCCCCCTAAACCCTAAACCCTAAACCCTAAACCCCAAACCCGAAACCCGAAACCCTAAACCCTAAACCCTAAACCCCAAACCCTAAACCCTAAACCCTAAACCCTAAACCCCGGGGAAGCCGAGGCTGGTGCTCTGCGCTCTGCTTCTCGCGTCCGCGCGCGGCGTCCCGGAGGTGGAGCAAGCCTTGGCCTCCGCCGTTTGGCGTGGGTTTAGGGTTTCGGGTTTAGGGTTTAGGGTTTAGGGTTTAGGGTTTAGGGTTTAGGGTTTAGGGTTTAGGGTTTAGGGTTTAGGGTTTAGCGGATTTTCAGGTTCACACGGTTTAAGGGTTGAGGGTTAGAGTCCCTAAGCCCTCCAAAGCAAAATGCAAGGTTTAGAGAAGTGACACCAAACCCTAACCCAGAGGGTCCATTTGTATTCATATTATGGAATTAGGTACCCAAAAACCATACTGAATAGGGTTTTGGGGTACCTAATTCCATAATAGTATTACAAATGGACCCTCTGGGTAACACTATCATGAAACAAGGCCCTATTCAACAGGGTTATGGGCCCCAATTCCCAAAAAGAGTACTGCAAACCGACCCTCAACCCTAAACTCTAGAGATAGTGTTCTGGGCCCTGCTTCCACAATAGTGTAAACTTCCCTAAACCCTAAACCCTAAACCCTATACCCTAAACCCTATAGGTACATTCCCAAATCCTCACCCGGAGCCGAGGACACGGAGTGCGCCGACGAGACGTGCGCGCTGAACGCTCTGCAGCAGAAGCAAGCTGTGGTGGCAGGCCCCCACGGGCCTTGTAGGGGGTTTAGGGTTTAGGGTTTAGGGTTTAGGGGTTAGGGTTTCGGGGTTCAGGGCTTGGGGTTTAGGGTTTAGGGGTTTCGGGTTTAGGGTTCCGGGTTTAGGGTTTGGGTTTCGGGCTTCCGGCTCAGGTCCAACCCCAGGAACCTTCCCAACCCTAAACCCTAAACCCCATACCCCAAACCCTAAACCCTAAACCCTGGACCGGCAAGTCTTCGTGCCCCCGCCCCAGGCCTGACGGAAGATTCTGCCCAGCAGTTTCAAGCTGCCATCGACGAAGGCGACACGCAGGAGGAGAAGCTGACGAGGTGCCAGGGGTTTAGGGTCTAGGGTTTAGGGTTTAGGGTTTAGCGCACGTTTAGGGTTTAGGGTTTCGGGTTTAGGGTTTAGGGATTTGGGGTTTAGGGTTTAGGGTTTAGGGTTTAGGGTTTAGGGTTTAGGGTTTAGGGGCGGTCTGGGTTTAGGTTTTAGGGCTCAGGGTTTTCGATCTTGAGTGCTGCTTGTGGCGCCTGGTGATTTTTACTTGCTTAGAGGGCTTTGGCAAATTTAGCCTAAACCCTAAACCCTATGAACCCTATAACCCTCAAACCCTAGAACCCTAGAACCCTATAACCCTATAACCCTATAACCCTTTAATTCTAGGGGGCTACGCCCAAAGGCGGGCAACGCCCCGAGGTTTCGTGGACGGCGGGCGGGGGCTCGCAGGAGAGATGGACAGTGTTGGGGTTTAGGGTGTAGGGTTTGCCCCGAAGGAAGAAGTGCGTTGCCGACCAAAAGGAAACGCCAAGCACGCAGTGGGCGCGCGCACACAGGGCCGCACAAGCTGGACAAAAAACCCACAAGCCGCCAACGACATAGGCCTCACCTGAAGCCTCACCCATCCGCCCCTACTTGGAGGTCCATGGGTTGAGGGTTTAGGGTTCAGGGGTACTTATTAGACGGGATCCCACGCCAAGCCCTGAAAACCGGGGAGCATTAATTCGTGCTAATGCCTCTGCAAGCGGGGTTGGGCCGCCGGGTTTCGCGTTTAGGCAATGATGGTTTAGGGTTTAGGGTTTAGGTTTACGGATTTAGAGTTTAGGGTTTAGCAAGTACGGTAGTTGAAGCTTCAGCTTGGCGGCCCCGAGCCCTCTGTTTCAGGCTTGTTTGCTCCGTTGCTAGGTTGGTATGTAACCTATAAGGTTCCCTAATACTCCGCACTACTAAGGTTCCCTAGGTAGCACCAACAAGCAACGAAGCACCAGCCCAAGTCAACGCGACCAACACATAGAATGCGCATTGGCAGGAAGATGGCCGCAGAGGATTTTGAATCCGAGGCCAGGGAGCCATTTGACCGGACCCTACTGTTGAAGGACGACGATGAGCTGAGCATCTGAGTGCTGATTTAAAGGGGTTCATGAACCCTTACAAGTGGGAATACCTGAAGACTCACCCATCCGCCCCTACTTGGAGGTCCATGGGTTGAGGGTTTAGGGTTCAGGGGTACTTATTAGACGGGATCCCACGCCAAGCCCTGAAAACCGGGGAGCATTAATTCGTGCTAATGCCTCTGCAAGCGGGGTTGGGCCGCCGGGTTTCGCGTTTAGGCAATGATGGTTTAGGGTTTAGGGTTTAGGTTTACGGATTTAGAGTTTAGGGTTTAGCAAGTACGGTAGTTGAAGCTTCAGCTTGGCGGCCCCGAGCCCTCTGTTTCAGGCTTGTTTGCTCCGTTGCTAGGTTGGTATGTAACCTAAGGTTCCCTAATACTCCGCACTACTAAGGTTCCCTAGGTAGCACCAACAAGCAACGAAGCACCAGCCCAAGTCAACGCGACCAACACATAGAATGCGCATTGGCAGGAAGATGGCCGCAGAGGATTTTGAATCCGAGGCCAGGGAGCCATTTGACCGGACCCTACTGTTGAAGGACGACGATGAGCTGAGCATCTGAGTGCTGATTTAAAGGGGTTCATGAGCCCTTACAAGTGGGAATACCTGAAGCCTCACCCATCCGCCCCTACTTGGAGGTCCATGGGTTGAGGGTTTAGGGTTCAGGGGTACTTATTAGACGGGATCCCACGCCCTGAAAACCGGGGAGCATTAATTCGTGCTAATGCCTCTGCAAGCGGGGTTGGGCCGCCGGGTTTCGCGTTTAGGCAATGATGGTTTAGGGTTTAGGGTTTAGGTTTACGGATTTAGAGTTTAGGGTTTAGCAAGTACGGTAGTTGAAGCTTCAGCTTGGCGGCCCCGAGCCCTCTGTTTCAGGCTTGTTTGCTCCGTTGCTAGGTTGGTATGTAACCTAAGGTTCCCTAATACTCCGCACTACTAAGGTTCCCTAGGTAGCACCAACAAGCAACGAAGCACCAGCCCAAGTCAACGCGACCAACACATAGAATGCGCGTTGGCAGGAAGATGGCCGCAGAGGATTTTGAATCCGTGGCCAGCAGGGTAGGGCTATAGGGCTTTCGGGTTGGAGGGTCCGCCAACGCTGGCGGCGTGTTGGATGGGAAAAAGGTTTTTTTTTCGCTCTTTCCCTCCTTACCCCCCCCCAAAAAAAACGGCTGGGTGGGGGGTAGGGGACTCGGGCAAACCCCCCCACCAAAACCCAGCCAGCCCCAACCCCCCCCACCTGCCCCCTACCCCCCCTACCCCCCCCTTCCCCCCTACCCCCCCCCCCCGCCCCCCCTCCCCCCCCCCCCGCCTGTTTAATTCCTGGTGCTACCCCCTACCCCCCCGCCCCTTTGAGCTGACGAGCGCGTTTAAACCTTTCAACTATGCTCCAGCTTGAGCCGGAGGCTCTTAAATCGGGCAACGCCCCTCTGTGTGCCCGCTAGGGCGGAAGCCCTTGCTGTAGCAATGGGATGGGCATGCAGGGCCGCCGACCCGCCCTTGGAGAGCATCATTGGGACGACCGTGCTTTTGGGGGGACCCAGTGAGCATCATGAGCATCAGCGGCGTCGCCATTCTGGGTTAGAGGCGAGGAACGGAGGCAGCGATGCTCGTATAAACCCGAACCTAAACCCTAAACCGTGTAAAAATAGGGTGTTGCTTTGTTGAGGACCATGGGCTTGGTGGCTGGGAGGTGCTTTGGGGGCACAGAGGTGCTTTGTCGACTGGGCTCGAACTTTAAACAAAGCCCTGTGTAAATATAGGGTCCGCCAGCGCAGCTGGCGCCAGAAGATTTTTTGCATTTTGTCTTATAGGGTCGACCCCGAACCTGGAAGGCTTAAAGAACTGTTAGGTGTTTTGCGTGTTTCGGTCGGGATCGGGCCCTCTTGCTGCTTTTCGAAGCCACTTGAACGCTTTTAGCATTTTCACACGATGCACGTGCAAACACAGCAACCACAAGCTCCCGAGCCGGCTGTGCCGGGCAAGTACCAGGTTCGGGTAAGTCCGCCCTTTGCCGCAGGGCTGTGCACGCGCTCACCATGTGAGCCGTCGCAACAAAGGGCAGTTCCGCGGCCGAAGAGGACATAGACCTGACAGATCTATCTTCGAAGGCATTGTAACCCTGCTGATGCAAGGAGATTATGCCGAGATGAGCATGCCACGACGCAGCAAGAAGCAGGTGAGGGCATATTTGTAGTTCAGCCACCATACCCAGGAACGCGTTCTTGTCCAGAACGGGGATTACATCTATGCTGCTGATCAAGTGGCAGGCGCTGGCATAGCAAAGGACGGGCCAGAACAAGACGCGGCTTTGTCTGAGGAGGTGCGGAAGCTCGGTGACTCTTTCGTCGCCTTCCTTTCTTTTTCAGCATGCCTTTCCGGTGTCTGGAAATCGTTTTTCAAAAGTTGTAATGTTCACCAGAATTGTTTTATGTTGTATATTTTGTTGTTTTTTTTGTTTTTTGGGGGGGGGGGGGGTATTGATGCCAGAATCATTTTGGGTGGTAGTGGGTGGCTGCGCTCGCCCTCCGCGGTGATCCAGGTGCTGTCCGGCCAAGCGAGCGCTGAGGTCGACTAAGGCAGCTTGCAATGGCAGGAAGGGGCTTCGACCCATTCTTCCGGAGCTGAGCCGTCGTGCGACTTTCGATTTCTTTGAGGATTGGATTGCCCAGAAGCACGACGGAGCTTCGTGGGGATAGCTCTGAGACGGTGGCTTTGGGGTATGAAGCCGGCTTGCGTGCCCGAGCCATCCGTCCCCGTAAGGCTGTATAGGGAACTCGACTTTGATCGCACTGCTGCGCGGAGCCGACTTGCTGAAGTCGATGGCTTCGTTTTCATAATTATGTAAGCTGCGCCGGCGTGCGGGCCCACCAGAGACACACGCTGGCGCTGATGCGAATGACGTCCTGGCAGCTCTACGCTCCTGGCGCTGCTGCGCAATTCTAGAAGCGGGCTCTTTGCAGGAGTATTTACTTCGCCTACTTTGACGGTTGACGTCGCGATGGACTTATAGGTTTACAAGTAACTTGCATGTGGTTGTATAAGTTTTTATGTTGGTTGACAAGTATCATATCTGTATCATATCTTCAGGCTAAGCTATGTAAACTGACGCCATACTTGTGTACCCAAAAAAACTTAGCGGCCACTTTGGCGGCCAAACCTCGACAAAATTAGCTGCAACTTGGCCAGTTACCAAGTATATGATTGTTTTGGCTTTTTTTGGCCAGGAAATGCAGAAAGGTTTTCTTGCAAATTGTGTACGTTCTCCACTCTTGTCTTTTCTTATATGAACTCTAAACTTATGAATGTTGAGTGCCAGATCACATCCGCTGTTTTCCCTTTGTCGTAGGCGCATCAGGCTTGTGTTAGTTGCAGTTCTGCTTCCGGTCGGCTCCTTGCTTTGCATATATGTTCTTTTTGATCAGGCGGACGCACGAAACCTTGGATTTCGAAGATTTCGAATGCTTTCTTGGTGTCCGCGAATGTCCGCCCTTGTCCCCGGCGAAAACGCGCTGCGTCGGCATATGTCCGCGCGTGTCCGCGCCATGATGGTCTTTACGCTGGTGTCTCGCAAAACAACATAATGTCCGCACGTGTCCGCGCCACTGCGCCGCAAGCTTCCGACCTACTTGACATGTCCGCGCATGTCCGCGCACGCTCTCCATACATAGGCGTGGCCTGTGTCCGCGGCGTCTCGCGTCTTTCGCGTCCAATCTGCATGTTTTTGGGGGGCTGGGGGCTGCGCACGCTGGCGGTTTTATGGGGGGGGGGGGGGGGGGGGGTCTCTGCATTCCTCTAATAAGCTATATATGTATATAAATGAAAAGACACCAATGGATGGTTTCGACGGAGCTCTGAGGGTCGGGACTTGGGACCCGACCGGCTGCTGCGTGTTGATCTCGGGGTGACTGTCTGCGAATAATTAGTGAAGCCAGGCAAGATGTTGGGAAAGCTTGCTTCTGGGTTCTTGCGCATGTAGGGCGGGGCCGAGGGTCTGCCTCTTTCGGTTGCTCTCGGGGTCTCAGCCTGCCATGAGATGTACCAGTGTAGCCACTTATACCCTTTCAGGAATCGCTTGCATCTGCGCAGTCGCCATCGTTTGTAATGTGTACCCCACTGTTTGTAGGTAGACAAACATTCCGTCGGTATAGTCCGTATGCACAAAGCAGTCATGTATGAAAACGACCTAGCTGGCTGACACGGTAGTAGGACCTGCTGTTTGCACGGCGGCTTCCCACATCTTCGTCTCGCCATCACATGGGTGTTAACATGGGCTGGGAACAAGGTATCAGCTGATGCACGCTCAAGCAACCACATACTGAACATCAAGGTGGGCACCTCTTGTCTTTGGCAGAAATCGGAGCAAGAACTCTGAGCACGAGGCCCAGCAAGACCACAATCTCGCCAATGCATTTCCAGTCCTGCGCAGTAAGGCTGCAAGGGCGGGGTGGTTTGAGAAGCTGGGGCTGAGGTGTTGACAGCAGAGTTGTTGTCTGATCTGTGCCAGGTCGTTCCACCATCAGTGTTGTATGTACTGCCAATCCGTTGCACTGCTGGCGCAGATAGTGCCCAAGCGGGCATTAAGCCATTGGCACTTCGCTGGATCCGATATGTAGAAGGCTGTACGCATGAACTCGTCCAAGGTGTCGCGTTTACAGCTGTCGAGGCATTGTGGAAGGCCAAGACTGTTGTCATGTGAAGAACCAGCCATTGCCATTGCACTGCTCTTGCCATGCGCCGTATAACGCTGCACATGCGCAGGCTGTAGGGACAAGTCTGCACTGTGGGAAATTCGTGGTTTTCCCTAGAGCACCACAGTAGCAGAATGTGCAGCTGAAGCAGCGTAAAAGAGGACAGCCACGCCGAATGGCTGCCTCTATGGCGAGGACTACTGGCCGCAGGGTAGGGCCAAGCCCGACAACCCAAGAAGACCAAGACCCGAGAAAACAAAGTCACACCTACCAGCAGCTGTGAGCCGCGATGCTTCTTGTTAAGGGTCAGCGTCCCACCGATGAGCTTCCATGAGACCGAGATTCCCGAGAGATTCCCGAAGAACCAGGCCAGAAGCAAACCCTACCCCCCTATAGCCTTGCCATGGCTGACCTTAACTTCAAGTTAAGCGCTTGCAGCGTGCTCACGCGCATTTGTTCCAGTTGCACCCGCGGCTTATGGTTGGAACCGAAAGCACCATAAATGTCAGTGAAAACCCTTAAGTTCGACACAGTGTGTTGGGAGTATTGTCGCTAATTCTGCAGGGCCGTTTTTCTACGAACTTTTCGGGCGGCCACCACGAAGCACGAATGCAAGCTATATATCTGGACATGGACCCCGTGCGCAATATGTCTCACCACGAAAACTGGAATATGACAAAGACAATGGTGCAGAATACAAGTAACACGGACATGTGCCCAAAACCCATGAAAAAGCTTGGCGAGAACTTGCGCTAGTTAACAAAGCAACTTACAAGTGTCTGCTAAGTTGAGCCGATACATGGTTTTTTAGTTGTTGCTAAGTTCCTAAGAACGACACGCTGTCGAAGTAAAACAACACCTCGCTATGCTCAGCTGAACAGCAAAAAGCAAGTGACAGGAATGCTCGCAGGGGTTTGGTCGGGGCCTCTTCCACTTTCCAAATATGAGGTTCATGAGTTTGCATTGAGATCCTTCAGCAAGTCCCTCTTGTTTACTTCTCGAACGAAAGGTACACCAAAGGTACATGGACTTCTTCTCTACTCCTATATGGCCTTCCCTTCTATTGAACGGCGAACATAAGGTTTTTGGCTCCTATCCCTCTGCTCCAGAGCATCAGGTACACAACCCGCATTGCTACTCCTTCAACCAAGGGCGAGCATAAAGTACATGGTCCTCTTCTCTACTCCTTCCCCTAGGAACACAGGGTTGTGCCATCCTCGGCTTTTCTTTGGTTTTGAGTCACTCAACAAGATTGACATCCCTGCGCCATTCATGGGGCGCGCTCAAAACTGGAGATGGGCCGGGCATCTGCTTCGGGCTCCTGACCTTTGGTTCAAGCCTGAACCATAGGGAAACATCCTTTCTGTCAGAGGGAAACTTCCGTTCCGTTACCAGTCTTCCTTCAATTTACCTTAACCCCATTGCTGTGAAAAGCCTTCTTTCAATTTACTTCATCTTGTGGTACTTTATATGAGTCTGTTTAAACTTGGCTTTGAAAACAAACCGCGTTGGAAGCCAAGCCCACACTGTGCTGGAGCACACGGGCGAAGCCCTCAAATTCTAGGGTTTTAGGGTTATATATCATATAACCCTAAACCCTAAACCCTAAACCCTAAACCCTAAACCCTAAACCCTAAGCCATACAACCCCTGTACGACCTGAACCCTAAACTTTGTTGTGGCAGGTATATGGTTTGTAACGTACCCCGAAACTCCAGGTAACCCTCCATCCCCCCACATCCATCTGTGCCCTGATTGAAGCTTTGCTAGGGATTTAGGGTTTGGGGTTTAGGGTTTGAGGTTTAGGGTGTGGGGTTTAGGGTTTGAGCTTTAGGGGGGTGCGGGGTCGTTTGGGGTTTCAGGGCTGCTGGGCGCACCTGGAAACCTCAGTCCCTACTTGGAGGTTCATGGCACTTATTAACCATATGAACTATTTACAACTGTAAACCATAATGGGGCACTTAAGGGGCTTATAAGTGGGTTATAAGACAGTTAGAATTGGTTCATAAGTACCATGAGCCTCCAAGTAGCTTCAGGCAGCAAGACCACCAGGAAGAGAAGAACACGGCGAAGGAGGCTAAGGAGGGCGGCAAGCGCCTCGCTTGCGATCCGGGGGTTCAATTTTTGGGGTTGCGGGGTTCAAGGGAGTCTAGGGGTTACGGTTTCGGGGGTTTAGGGGTTTAGTTTTTTTTAGGGGGTGGGTTTTTGCGGACGTACCGTTTTTGATGATATAACGGCTTCTGGTTTAGTGTGATTGGCCTGTACACCCCAGACCCTAAAGCCCTGAAACAGCAAACTGTTCCCTACATTGACCCTCAAGGATTTTAGGGTCTAGGGCTTATGGGTACGGGTTTAGGTTGTCGGGCTTAGGGTCAGGAGGTCTGGGGACCGGTTTAAGGAACCTCTATTGGAATGTGGAGGCCATATAGGGTTTAGGGTTACTGTCGGTTGAGGGACCCTGAACCCGTGAACCTCCTGAACCCTAAGCCATTGCATTGAAACATGTTCTCCTCACCTGAACCTCAATCTCCTAAACCTCGCGAAAGCCCTCAACCCCGAAAGCCCTAAACTCCTGGATTTCCCTAAACCCTAAACCCTAAACCCTAAACCCTAAACCCTAAACCCTAAACCCTAAACCCTAAACCCTAAACCCTAAACCTTATAAAGCACCAACAAGAGGGTTCCCCAACTAGAGGATGGTTTCTGGGCTACCAAGAAACCTGACAAACCTCACAAGGCTTCAGTCAAGGGTTTCAGGGTTTAGGGTTTCAGGGTTTAGGGTTTAGGATCTAAACCCTGAACCCTAAACCCCTAAGGTCGAATCACTTGGAAGGTCCCCCCATGTTAGCTTTACAAGGGCAGCAGAACCCAGCGGTACTGCCTTAGGG